GCCCTCTACCGCCAGAAGAAGGAGAAGCCGCGCAGCTAGAGCGCGGTGCGCCCCCGTGAGCAACAGCACCCCAGCAGCATAAGAAGAAAACTCTTGGCGTGAGCTTGACCTTTAGGCGGTACGTGATGGGGACACGTGGTGGTTTTACGTCACCGTTGAATACTTTTACGTTTCTCTTTTTTTGTTTTAATCCTCTTCTGCGGTGCTCTGCGGCCCCTCTGCTTGCTCTTCTGCATTACCCGCAGCCAGGTGACCTGGGCTGGGACGGGACAACTTTTGTGGGTTTTGCACAACAACTTTTTTGTTTTTGTTTTTTCGCTTCGTCTTCTTCCGCCCCCTTTCTGGGTTTCTTTTTCTTCTTGTGCTCTCACCACCGAAAGAAGCCAGGGAAGTCATGACCAAGGCGAACGGACAACACGCAGCGCGCAAGCTCGTCCGCCTGCGCCGCAAGAACCGCTGGGCAGACAAGGGCTGGAAGAAGGCCCACACTTTTGTGGCGCAGAAGGCCAACCCCTTCGGTGGCTCCTCCCACGCCAAGGGCATCGTGCTGGAGAAGATCGGTGTCGGGGCGAAGCAGCCCAACTCCGCCATTCGTAAGTGCGTTCGCGTGCAGCTGATCAAGAACGACAAGAAGATCATTGCCTTCGTGCCGAACGACGGTTGCCTGCACTTCATTGAGGAGAACGACGAGGTGCTGGTGTCTGGGTTCGGCCGTTCCGGCCACGCCGTCGGTGATATTCCCGGGGTGCGTTTCAAGATCGTGAAGGTCTCAAACGTCGGTCTGTACGCCCTCTACCGCCAGAAGAAGGAGAAGCCGCGCAGCTAGAGCGCGGTGCGCCCCCGTGAGCAACAGCCACCCCAGCAGCATAAGAAGAAAACTCTTGGCGTGAGCTTGACCTTTAGGCGGTACGTGATGGGGACACGTGGTGGTTTTACGTCACAGTTGAATACTTTTACGTTTCTCTTTTTTTGTTTTAATCCTCTTCTGCGGTGCTCTGCGGCCCCTCTGCTTGCTCTTCTGCATTACCCGCAGCCAGGTGACCTGGGCTGGGACGGGACAACTTTTGTGGGTTTTGCACAACAACTTTTTGTTTTGTTTCGCTTCGTCTTCTTCCGCCCCCTTTCTGGGTT